TAGAATACTAAACATATACAAAAGAGCTTTTTTGACAGATACATTTTTAAAGCATTTTAATAATTGGATTACTGAATTTATCTATTTCATTAAATGAGATATATTTTAGAAGCTACAACTGGAGAGACAAAAGTAAAACACTTCGGACTAGCTTGTATTATCATGGAAACAAAAAAATGAAGATAAAAACAATAATGAGAGATAACATTATTAAACACATATTTCAAACTTTTGATTGAGATCCTTTAGCATTAGCACAAAATTAGAATTCTAGAATCAAATCAAATATAAATAACACCAAGCTCCCATATCAGTCAGTAATAGGAAATTGAATAAGAGCCAAAGATATTAAAAATTACAGTTTTATAAAATGTCTTGAAAGTGAATTTGTAATACACAAAACAGGTTTTTTTAATGTGAAACAGCTGTTTTCTTTCCACCATTTGGAAAATTTTAGCACAAAACAAAATGTTTTAAACTCAAAAGTATTTTTTTCCAGCTCAAAACATTTCCATGATCCTGTTATTGCATTTCAAATTCAAAGGTCCAAAACTAAAAGTTTTTACACTACTATTAAAAAATAGCCTCCTTGCTTGGCCTGATGATAATCTTAAGAATAAAGCATTTATAAGTTCTAGTCGGACAGAAAGAGAAGATGCCAGATGAGACTTTATACTATAAGTCCATAATAAAAAGTGTAAGATGCCTGTCAATACTACGTGAGTAGAAATAAATTCAGAGTTTTGTAAAAATCTGTTTTTAAAAAACCATTACTATTTACAGCATTATTCTGCATCAGCTACAACACTACTTTAATGCCATGCCTTAGAGAATGGTATAATGAAAACGCCAGAAATCCTTCTTGAAAAAAAAAACATGAAGATGTAATTCCTGTTTCAGAACTCAATGGAGGTGATCTAAATAAGAAGGCTATCAGTTACTGTAAAGAAAACATAGTGAGAGCTGTAAGGTGTAACAAAACCAGTCTTCAAGTAGGAAAGAGCAGACAATATGAACTTTGTTTTCAGGAACTTTATATCTATATATCTATAGGAAACATACAACTTCTCTTTATAGTTCCATATGGCATACTTATTAGAAATTGTATTTTGTGAATGTCTCCTCAAGAGCTCTTGAATAAACATAGCAATAATCATAGGATGAGAAAACCTGCCTGTTTATAAACTAGTTATAAACAGAAAGTAAAAATAGGATTACATGGATAAGGAAGTAAAAAGGGCAGCTGAAATCAGTTCTTTACAAATCTTAATAATTAGGAGGAAATAGTACGCTGGCCTTATTGGCAGAGAAAATTGAACCATTCAGGGTAATAAAAACTAAACACAATTGTGAAAAGTTCCAGAGGCTCTCTTCAAATTGCTTGAATGATCAATCAAATTACAAAATCATTCAATTTAACTATGTAGAAAATAATGTCCAGAAAGCTGAACAAGGATATGATATAATAACAACAACAACAGCAACAATAATAATAATAATAAAGTAGGAAGGGACCTTGGAGGTCATCGAGTCCAACCTCCTGCTCAGGCAGGAACCTTACACCATTTCAGACAAATGGCTGTCTAGTCTCTTCTTAAAAACTTCCAGTGTTGGAGCATTCACCGCTTCTGGAGGCAGGGTGTTCCATTGGTTAATTGTTCTAACTATCAGGAAGTTTCTCCTTAGTTCTAGGTTGCTTCTCTCCTTGCTTAGTTTCCATCCGTTCCTTCTCATCCTGCCCCCAGGCGCCTTGGAGAACAGCCTGACTCCCTCCTCTTTGTGACAGCCCCTGAAATATTGGAACACTGCTATCATGTTCCCCCCTCATCCTTCTCTTCGTTTTATCTTCTCCTCTAAAAACACCAGGACTAGGATAACCCAATAAACCTGATTAGAAGGTGACCTAAAACAAGCAAAGGAAAGCACTTCCACTATGCATAATAATGTCTGTAATCCATTACTACAAGATAAAGCGATAGCCTCTAATTTGGACTGATTTAAAGAAAGATTGAAAAAAATCACTGAGACCTGGTCTTACAAGTTATCTGTCTTGAAGATACAATGTTGCTTATAGATTAAATACAGCAAGCCTCCAAATATCAGTTATGGGATAACAATTGGGGGAGTGGATCTGTCTTTATGAACTGCCAGATGGCTATTGCTCTAAGAAAATGTTGGCTTAACTTGGGATCTATGATCTTATAAATATAAGAACTAAAAGTAGCATAGCTGGGCTGCAAAAGTCCAGAAGATTCGTGCTAATGTTTTCTGTAGCCACCCTCCAGCATCCTTTGGATTTTTGCAGTGCAGATGATTGATGGATGCACTTATTTTTCAATGTTTATGTCCACCCGCTTGCCAAGTGATTTTGAGCAACTATCAAAGGTTAAAAACATAAAGGAAAAATATAACATAATAAAGATAATAAAGCATGCTGTATGAGTGTCAGACAGATAACAACTCATAGTAGTTGCAACACACTCATATACCATCCTTGATCAAGCTGTTGAGGAGCAAACCAGTTAAAGGTGGCCATGTTGTGGCCAACCAAATGGGGGGGGGAGGTGCTCCATAAGGCAGATGCTGTGCCAGAGAAGACAGGCCTCCTGCCTCACATCAGGTGACATCATCTAATTGACAGGATTGGGAGGATGTCAACCCTGCTGGAATTTACAGAATGAGCAGAGACAATGAGATTGATAATCCTGCAAATAACCAGATTCCAATTGTAGCTCCAGTTGTGCCATTATATGTAAAAACCATAGCCTCCACATTTTACAAAGGCAGTATTGGTGCCTATATATAATGTAACCTTGTGTCACTTTCAGTACACACACACACACAAATACACAAAAAGAATATTTTAGAGACCGATGTGTTTAACAACAAAAAAAGGGGGGCATTTTGTTAGAAAGCCCTTGCCTATCAAGCCATTTAAAACAATCCTTTCCATATATTAACAGCAATCTATTCTAATGACAATAATGCCAATTCTAATCTCAGTGGTTTGCCTGTCATCTTTCTAGGAAAAGCTAAATGACTCTGAAAATCACAGCGATAGGACGGTTGCCTATCAAGACAATAGTCCGCCCATTCTCTCCTGGTTTGTGCAAATCGAGGCCGTGGACTTCTGATGGTCGATTCCAGTTCTGGCCATTCACCCTTGGTATGCCCGTGAGTGAAGGGGCCTCCTTGGAAACCTGACCCTCCACCACCACCAACCCGTTCAGCACCAGCCGCACTAGAGCCTCGCCCCACCCGGGCGGCGCCTCCCCCCCGCCCCTCATCTCCGTGCTCGCGGGGGACCCCCCTTCTCAGCCCCGCACCTTGGAGACGTTGCCATGGCAACTTCTGCGGCCGCCTGCCTCTCTGGCGCTGAACTCCAGCAGCCGACACGGGGCCTCCCCTACCTGAAAGCAACGGGCAATCGGCTTCTTCCGCTACTCTAGGCGGCCTGCGGTCCCGAGCACGCCGACTGCGCATGCGCCAGGGTACCTGTCAGTGGCGTACACCTGCTGCCGCTGCCCAGCTGCTGGAACGCTCCCTCATCCTCAGTCGGAGGGGAGGGACAAACCATTGCTAGGATACCAGGATTCATTCTGGGAAGTACGAAAAGGCGCCTGGCCACGTTTTATCCGCCTTCCTTCGCCGCTCAGGCGCCTTCTCAGCCTCCTTTTTACCGGAGACCAATTTTGCCTTCCTTCCGCTTTTTCCTGCCCTTTGCAAAGTCTTCCTTCCGACGCTCGCATAGTTGTTCCCGGGATTTGAAATACTTTACGGGCTCACTCCAAAGGTAAGTGCGTCTTACTCTTAAATAATTTCAAATTCTTGCTCGCTGGGAAAACAAACAGGGTCCCGCTGGAAAGAAAAGGACTTGAAATGGGCAGAGAAGAGCGTATCTTCAGTTTCCTAGGTATACCTGCTTTATCCCTTAATACATTATTTCTGTTCTACTAATTTTCTGTTATCATGTAATTGTTGCCACTCCTAATATTTACTTTTGGCTTGTCATATAGTGCTCCTTCTAATATTTATCTTTATTTTGTTACTGTACTGTCCCTTCTAAGGATTTTTTTTACTAAACATGTAGTTTGCAATTCGTGCATCTTGCAACCATGATCAATTTTTCTCAGAGCAGCTAACTGTGAAAACTTACATGTAACTGTCATTCAAATCAGTAAAAATGTAAATGAAGTAGGGCGAAGGTTTTACTGTGAAACTTTTGTATAAGTTTCATAATCTTAGAATAATAGTAACAAAATATGGCACCATAACGAATCCTTGCCAAGTTTCCCAAGGACATCATAGCAGCTCAGATAGAGACAGTCAAGTACAGTTTTAGGCTCATTATATTGTCTTACTATCATAACCAGAGAATTGTGTATAAGATAAGTTGAAATTAAACACAATTGATAGGGATTGTTACCATTTTAAAACTGGCATTTAAAGGCTCATCTTCCAAAACCATAGTTCCTATTTTAGAATGAAAATTTATTGCAATTTTTCATCAACATTCCAAGGTCCTGACATTTTGGTGGAAGGGATATATGTTTATTCACTAGTGCAGTTTACTTTTAATTTGAATTGATGTAACTACTGAACTCTTTAGAGAAAAAAGTCCCACAAAACTATATTTCATTGCATAATAAAGTAAAAAAGTACTAGCTTTGCTAAAGATCCTGCCACTTTGTTAAGTGCAAGATTCCTCCATGTGATCTATCTTTCTTTCTTTCTTTCTTTCTTTCTTTCTTTCTTTCTTTCTTTCTTTCTTTCTTTCCTTCCTTCCTTCCTTCCTTCCTTCCTTCCTTCCTTCCTTCCTTCCCACCCAAGTTCTCATAACTCTGGGAACATTATTATAGCTGCAGCACCATGTTTAGGAAACCCTTTAAACCATGCTTAAAATTATATCTTATATGTCAATTCACTGGTACTTATATACTGTAATAATTTATAACGTCTGATTGTTTAAGGAAGAAAAATAATGACAGGAACATATAGCGTTCAACTTTTTAAAAAGTTATTTAATGAAATTAAAGACTGCCACTTTCCAGCAGATGTTATATCTATACAAATAATTTATAATGTATTTACACAATGTACATCCCCATTTAATACAGATATAATATTCAAAACAATCTAATAACTTTTGGGTTGTAAACATTTAGCTGCAGCACCATGTTTAGGAAACCCTTTAAACCATGCTTAAAATTATATCTTTTATTTCTTAAAAAGAGATTGACCTTTACAGCAGCTCATGAAAATATTAGTTTTATATGATCTGTTTTTCCATCCATCATTACTCAACCTATATAATTTGTATTATTGCTCTGTTGAATGTTTGTGATCCCTTCGGTATTCCAGCTTTTGTCTATTTACAAGGATTATGCAACTGAATGGAACCCCATGGACATACCTGTCCATTACTTAGAAAAATAGAAAGACAAAACTGTATAAAGGCTGCTTCTGAGAACTCTAAACATCATGCTGCATAAAACTTGCAGTCTGTTCCTTTCATGTAAACTATTCGTGTTTTATAGGAAGAGTGTGTGTGCATTAATAGCTAAAGCAGGTTTGAATAGAAAGCAATATAAAAAGTGTAATAGAAGTGGCCGCAGAAAGCAGACAAACTTTTGTAACATCCCTAAAACAATTATTTTCTCCCCTTGTGATATTCATGGTCATACTTTACTAGAATTTTTATTTTTGTCATTCCATTTTACCAGTAGTATTATTTCCTAAATTATCCTGAAGAACCAGTGGGGATCAGTAAGCAAAATGAAAAACAGAATAGTTTAAGAATACTGTAGGAGGCAGGAACATACGCCTGAACTCTACTCAACTTTGATCGTTTAATCCTCGTGTGCATCATATACAGGAATGATCCCTTCAGCTACAATACCTGTACCTCAGGATGGTCACCTACTGTTGCCTTCACAATCAAAGCATTCTTCAGCAACCTGATTCAGGTATGATTATCTTTATTTCATGAAATTATAGCTCCCCAAATCACCAGTGCAGCAAAACAGAATGAGTTTCATATATTATCATAATTTGTGTAATAGATCTGTATAGTAACAGACCTCAATAAAATCAGCAGCCAGCTGAGCCTGGCTGATATTAAGAGCTAAGCAGTGGGCCCTGTCAATATTTAGAGGAGGGATTGTCTAGGAATTCCAGGGTAGACTAAACTGCAAAGATGTGGGGGTGCAGGTAAGACCCTGAAGAAGACAGTGACAAACCATTTTGTAACACTGCCAAGAAAATTGCATGGACTCACCTGGGATGATTCAAGGACATATTTGTGTATTAAAAACATTTATTTAGACACAGAATGTGAAGGGAGAATCAATGAAATTTTAAAAAGATACATAAAATCACAGGACATAAAAGAAGATCAAAACCAAGGGACCGTGATTAAGTGAGAAACAGGCTAAGGTAACTCCAGGGTGAGAGAAAAGATGTCAATAAAATTGGAAAACAACTGGATAGAAGGTCACAAAAACATTATTTTAGGATGAAAGGAGAAAGAGGGATAAATAACAGAGCATTCAAGTAACAAATTTAGGTTTCTTGCAATATGAGACAATTGGGGTCAAGATGGCTGAAGCAAGCAGAGAGGCTATTCCTGGAAATGTACTGAATAACTGAAAGCAAAAGGGGCCAAATCAGAAATAAAGGCAGTCACTGTACAATTTACAAATTTTTCTTGTTTCCTTGACTACCATTATAATATAAGAATTCATGCACACATTTGTTTCACATTATTCCACTTATTTTCTAACGAAAGAAACATTGCTTCCTGCTTTATTAAATCTAAATTCTTTACTTTGGGACAAAGCTTATATATGATTTTTTTTTTTAGAATAAGCTTGTCTGTGATAAATTTATGACAACACCTCCCTCAGCTGAGATTTAACAAAGCCTCTGTGTAAGGAATCTAATTACATTTGCCACACAAATGATAAAATGAAAGCTTTCTTAATCTGATTAATGAGAACTGCTTTATTCAAAGAAAACACAGTATAGTAGCTTAAAGATTTCATACCTTGTTTTCTTTTGCATCAGAAGCCACTTTCCTTTATCTCATGCAATGTGATGGAATCACTGGTTAAAGGAGAGGGGGGAGTAAAGAGGTGCACCAGTACTGTGTCAGTCTGTGGCAGGAAGCGACAAAGGCCAGACTAGTGAAGCCCTTATTCACCGGTTCTCAAGCGAATGCGGTCAAGTCTGGCAAGAGTCTTATAAAAACAGGTGATTAACAATAAAGAAACTGCTTTGGCTTATTCATGGAGTAGTTCTGGTTCCTTGCTCCTGACATGCTATTGCTACAAAATTTTCCTATATTGGATGGGATCTTTTTTTTTTTTCTATTGCTAAAAACCTGACTTTTCTGTTGACAATACTTTTTTTCTTTTCATGTTGACACCTTTCTTTCCCTGAATAATTCCTAATGAAACTCAACAAAAGATTTGAAAGGTTGGGATTATCAGCTTCTTTATCGAATAATGCCTGCAAAAGTATTGATGGGTAAGAGTAAAGACTTAGGTAAGTATTTGGCCAGTCCTATATCATTGCCTTCTTCCCCTTGCAAGTTGGTCTGTTTTGTTCTTGACTTTTGCAAACAGTAGCTGGGTTCTAGGCAAGGAAACACTTGAATACTGGAAAAAAAACAACAACACAGTTTCAATTACTAAACACCCAAGATACAAATATAATTCTAATTTCAAATCATTTAAAAAATTGGACATTGTTTTTAATTAGCAATCCATGTAGTCTAATCACACAATAATACTGTATAATTTATGATAATTTATATTTGATGATGAGGTGGAAGAAAAAAATAGATCTCGCTTAGCTAGAATAAGTTATAATAATAATAAAGTTGGAAGGGACCTTGGAGGTCATCGAGTCCAACCCCTGCTCTCTGTATTCTTTCTAGAGTCTCAGCATCTTTTTTACATCGTGGTGACCAAAACTGGATGCAGTATTCCAAGTATGGCCTTACCAAGGCATTGTAAAGTGGTATTAATACCTCACGTGATCTTGATTCTATCCCTCTATTAACGCAGCCCAACACTGTGTTGGCTTTTTGGGCAGCTGCAGTAAACTGCTGGCTCATATTTAAGTGATTGTCCATTAGGACTTCCAGAATCTTCCCAGGTATTGAGGTCAGGCTGATAGGTCTGTAATGTCCTGGATCCAGGAAATTGTTTTCAATTGTTTTCAATTATTTTTTTCCTAGTAAATTTGGTGTAGGAAGGCACTTATAAATATTGGCCTGTAAGATGAGTTAAGATATCTTATACCCATTAATACAGGGTCCTCACCTACTGATTAAAATTGGGACCTGCAATTCCATCACCAAGCACTGTAGTCACTAAGCAAAATACCATGTCTCCATGCCAGATTTATGACTTCAGTTCTGCCTCTAACATTAAGCAAATTAAGTTGTTATGTGAGATCTCACATGACTGCGACTTGCAATTTCACTTCCACATTCTCTATAATTCTGGCAGTCATGTGAGTATGAGACACTGCAACAGACATGATTGTGCACTAATTGTGAAGTGCCAAAGCTGTAATGGGCGTAAGTGTGAGACTTGGATGCAAAGCTGGATTTCTTTCAACTGATGTAACTTCAAATGGTTGTTAAGCAAAGCAGTTGGTAAGTGAGGGCTACCTATACTTGCAGTGGATATAATTTCTGAGATGATTAACAGCCTAGAATGTCTGATGAGAACAGTTAAGCATACATATCCAAATTATTTTTAATTACTATGAAAGCTTAAAATAAATAAGAATGCTTTTTAGAGTGATTTTTTTTGTACATTCCCATAATTCAGAAACTGACCTAAAAGAATCAATAATTATTGCTCATTAAAGAAGGCTACCTGATAACATTCTTATAGGCTCGCCTGGAATCCTTGTCAAGGAACACAGTAAAAGATCTTTGTTCTGTACTTCTGAGACTGATGTCGCGCATTCGTATAGTATTTGTCATTAACTGAAAGAAAATGAAAGATATTTTGATTGTAAAAATTGTCAAACCTACTGTATATTTAAATAAATAAAGATGTGTTTTGAATTGTCTTCCCTTTTTAAACATTTTCTCAATACAGCTAAATAAGTCATTTGTTAGGACCACCAGAAACTGTATGAGTCATATTTGATATCACAAAATACAGTTTTAGAAAGCTATCCTTCATTAAAAATAACTTGATGCAACACAGAAAAAGTATGATTATAATTTAAGTTTAAAATAAAATTGCCTTGCTCGGGGAACTATTAATGGAATGGGGCTCTAGCATTAAAGGTAGTCCTTAACTTATGACCATAACTGAGTCCAGAATTACCATCTTAAGTCATGTGGATCATAAATCAAGACACCCACATCTGCAGAAGTAATTTTCTGCTCTATTTTATGGCAGTCATTAATTGAATGCCATGATTGTTAAGTGAACCTATTCATTTGAAAGGGCGTTAAAACACTGTGAATTGCCATCATCTGATCACAGAACATCACAACTAGTCATAAGCTGACCTGCGCAACATGCTATCATATGACCATATAGAGGAAGGGCAGTGTAACCGTTTTGATAGCCAGGGGCGCTTTACGAATCATAGCACCTATTCTGTGGAAGTCATAATTTTGAATGGTTGTAAAATGACTGGTCATTAAGCAAGGACTACCTTTAAAGAGAAGGTGGTTAATTATTCCTGCTACGTCATCAGTGCCTTAAAACAGTTTTTTTAATGTGGCAGAAAGTACAAGGGATTCTGAGGTTTGAAATAGTCCTTGTTAAAGGTTTAATGAAACTATTTGCTTCATACTACTGAATAATATATTAAATAAACACTTCTTAGCTACATTGAATACTCTTAGAAGAACTGCATTTTCTACTATAATATTTGAATTATCTGCTATATATTCTATAGATCATTGTCAGAAGGAAGCAAGGAGCTTTTTTGCCTTAATAATTTTATCAATATAAAATATTTAATATGCACAAACTTTAACGAATTGAAGACAAAGTCTAACATTTTTAGAAACAATGAAAAAAAGGAAAAAAATAAAAGAGCATGAGTTACTAAATCAATTGAAATTCTGGAAACTCTGATCCAGAAACATCTCCAATAGCAAGTAGACACAAACAGCAGTTTAGCAAAAGACTGCATTTGAAATTCAGTTTTGCAAATTCCTGATTTGCCAAACTAATCCAGAAACATCTTCCCTAACTTATTCTCCAACTATTGATTAGCATCATGGCTCCTCTTCCTGAAAAATCACAGTACCACTTACAGAATATGATCGTCCTGAAATGTTGGAGGTTTTTATGACTTCATCAATATTTACAGTCAAGCACACTAGATCTACAGTGGAAAAAAATGAAGAACTAATGAGTACTGACCTTGTCCTGACCCTTCACATGTCTAGCAGTAGTAATAACCACATTCTGATTTAGTTTATTTTGTTCTACTGTTATACTATCGAACAGTTAGAATTCTCTGGACAGTATATAGTACAAGTAAATTAAAAACACTTTAAAAGATAAATGATACAGATTGGACATAGTAAGATAAAACTAGGAGAAAGAAGAAAAATCAATTAATAAAGTTATAAAGTGATGCAACGCTGCCTTTGGGACTTGAGGCTAAGTGTAAAATGTGCTTATATAGTCCAGTTTACTATCTATAATTCTATGAAGAAAGTGACTGCATAAATTTCAATACAAATGCAGGTGAGAAGCACAGAAAAAGAAGATAATCTATCTTTGAACACTTTTTATAGATGTGAGCTTTTATATTCAGTAAGGAAGATACACATTGGAGTTTTAAAAAATAATAATTTATAGGGAACATTCTATAAAAATATTTTTCTTGCCTGTTTTACAGGGATTCCATTGACACTTATTACTGGATGATACATCTATACTGTATATCATAATCAACACAATTCTATCTTTTTTTTTTAAATGAACGATGGTTTCATAACCCACCATAACTTTTACCTTCAAATTCACGTGAAGGAATGGTTTTTATAACAAGGCCTGTAGATCGCAAAGAAATCATCTCATCCTGTTCACGGTTACTCAGCAAAACCTAAAAAGAAAGATGTTTTACTTTGATGATTGCATTTATGTTTTCTAAAATGAGTAAGCTATTCAGCCATCCATCCAACAGACGCTTTTCCGCTTATGTTGAATAGGGCCAGGCAGAGTGTTTGAAAGCAGTGATTCACAAAGCATATCAGCACCAAAGGAACACTTCAAAGCATTAAAGCAGTAGTGTCCTTCACCAGCTCCATCTGACTGTTTCAAAAACTGTGTCTGGCTACACATGGGAACCATGGCCACTTCACTTCATTGGAGGTCTCAGAAGTGTTACTTCCTCATGCACACATACCAGCAGAAAATCAAGCAGCTGTCAAAGCTTTGTAAAAAATGCAGTGCTTTTAATATTTTAAAAGGGTTTTGTTTATTCTAATGTGCTTTGTGAACCGTCTCTTCTGAGTGCTTTACATAACCCTATATATCTCCTCTCAGTTCTTTATAATGTCCTAGTCTATAAGTCAAATTACTCGCTTTCTTCTTAATGTTTGTCATCTCTTTGAAGAACATTTAAATTCAGCTAACTTCCAAGTCTAATGTGAGATAAAATAATTAGGTCAACTTGCTTGTTACATAAATCTGAAGCATAATTTTCAATATTGAAACTCAAGTTATTGATGTGGGTGAAATATTTTGCTGGAACTTAATTCCAATTCCTAAAAGTCTAGAGTTTCCCATTTTTACCTAGGATTTGTATAATGTCTTACCTTTTTATAGAATAATGTAAGTTCTGCACCAGGAAATTCTATTGTTGGTTTCTTCTTTGTTGGTAAATTGTCTAGTAGAGAAAGACATAGCTTTCAACCAATTATGACAGTAATAATAATTTTCCATTTAGTTTACAGACAGACTGAATATTGAGACATCCAGTGCTCTTCTACTTGAGATTTTTGTTTGTTTGTTCTTTACGGAATGGCATGTGAACTTTTACTAAATATTGTTGAGGAGAGGAAAAAAGGCCAAGGAGTTGTGCTAATGATATAATCAAAGGAGAAAACATTAAATAGGCTCAGCTTGTCTAAGGTTATTTTTAAATATAAGTATTACAACGTGTTCATTGGGTTGGATGAAAGGAACAGTATTTTAACATATTGGTCAGAGAAGACTGATTACAGGTTTTGAGAATAAAACTGAAAGTGCAATAGATAGTAAATCTTGAAATGAAATACAGACCTCTGGAAGGGCTGAACTCTTCAAAATTTATTCTTAACTCAGTGAGGAAAATGTCCTCAACTGGCTCCAAGGCAGCATTATTAAAAAAAATCTGAAAGATAAGAGAATCCATCCTCACTGGGTGAAATATAATTATTTTTGTTTAAACTGATAAATATTTTCATTCTTAAAGACTACTGACCTTCACGGCATAGACTTGAAAGAAAACTGGCTGTAAGCCCAGACGCACATAATATGTAATCACATCAATAATAAACAATTCAGAGAGTGTGGATTTGCTTGGTGAAGAAAGCTGCATGGGATCAAAAATGATTACATCAGTCTACACCATTTATATCTGCTATTTCTAGCACACATGCTGATAAATATAGAAGTATGATTAAGAAAAATATTCGTTGACTGAATCACATAGACTCTCTCATCTAAAATACTAGATGAGAGTATTACACCATTATTACACCAACAACAATAACTACACCTTTATGAAATATAAAAGACAGTTAATGGTAGGGCTATGACCCCAAACATAGCAGGATGATACATAGCCCTCATGTCAAGTTGGCTATTATAAGCTGAGGATTCTGATTAAGGGATGGTGATATTGCTGGTTTCCTTTGCTATCTCAAGAATGGGTCCGAAAATCTCATAGCTGTTTCTACACATGCAGAAGAAAGGGCTTTCTCTCCTACCATGGTGGCCAGCTTCGGAATTGTGTAACAGAGGGAATTAATATTGCTCTCATACCACGGATCAGCTCTTCCAAGATAGGCAGCCAACTCACATGGCTCTTCCTGTTTTGGCAGAGAAAAGAGAAGCAAGGTTTTACTCTATACTACATAGGACAAGATCCACTTGCACAAAATCCCCTTCTACTACTAACTATAAGTCACTCACCTCAGTAAGGGAAGAGATTGGTTGCTCTTCAACAAGAGGCACATAATAAAAATGTACTTTTAGCCTTTGTGTAAGAAACACTCGCCTGCTTTCTCGCTTCCTGGACATGGGGAAAAATAAGGTCTGATAAGGCTTCTTCAGTAACAACTGATCTCTCTCTCTCTCTCTCTCTCTCTTTCTCTCTCTCTCTCTCTCTCTCTCTCTGTGTGTGTGTGTGTGTATTCTGACTGAGAAAATATTGGAAGATTTATTAATGTGCTAGAGTAATCTGACAATACTCAGGTAACTTGGCTGATTTAAAATAGCTAAGCAAATATCTGAATTGGACACTATCAAGAGAGATCAAATTGACTAATCTTGGGAAGACAGGAAAAATCTTGGAAAAGGGCAAAATAATGTGTCTATTAAGTTATCAAGTGTTGAGCATTAATCAAAGGCGATTTGACTTTATCCTTTTGACAGTTATGAAGCTGGTGTATAAGAATCTATATCATTCTCTTAAAAAAGCAAATTCATTATTTCTTAATTTGTAGCTGCCTCTTTCTTGCGTCTTCCCTACACCTTTTTATAGAATGGTGTGTGTGGGGGGGGGGAATCCAAGCACTCATGTTGCCAAGCCTAATATGACCTACTGCTAACATAATATGACAATTGATTAACAAAAACTACATTCTATAGCATGTTAAAAGGTTTCATCCACTACAGTGAGATATTGCAATTCCAATGTAAACTTTCTCCCTTTAAATACTAATCATTTGAGGAATATTATGTCCTCAGACTTGTTAAGATGAATGATAATGAATTGTAACGTCAACATCCAGAATTAATATTTTAGAACAAACATGGATAATGTGGCTTAATTGTTACCACATCACATTTTTCTTCTGCTGGAGTTGAAAGGGCATATACTCACAGTCTCCTGATTTCTAGGCCAGCACCTAAAACACTTTATTATAATCATTTAAAGCTTGCTGGGATGACTCTTTTTAGTATGTATGTATGTATGTATGTCAGTATAAAGTTGTAGAAAAAGCCCACTTACCACCCTTTCAGTCTAGATGTGCTAATGAAAAGAAATACACCAGTTTGAAATAAAGCAATTAGGTAATTAGGAAATAGTACTAATTTCCTTGTGAGAAGCAGCAAAAAGTAGTATGCTGTGATTGAATCTACTATCATCCCATTCACTATGCTGCCTGAATATAAAAACGTGGACTTTTAGTAGTTAACTAAGATGCTAATGCAGCAGTTCTCAACCTGTGGGTCGCGACCCCATTTGGGGTCGAATGACCATTTCACAGGGGTTGCCAAACAATGCAGTCCGCCATTTTCCCCCCTTTTCCTTAGCTATGCTACTCCCTCTTATTCTATTGGCTTTTGAAAGCCAATAGAATAGACTCTATTCAAGAGACTCTATTCTATTGGCGTACCTTGTGCAGTGGCCAAGGTAAGGCTAGCGGGGCAGCGGCGGGCACAGGGAGGGTTGCTGGTGCACGTGGGGCCCGGTGGGTGCCTTACCTCCCTTGGGCTGGGCCAGCTGGTGGCCCAGCCAGTGATCGGCCTGCGCCGTCGCTGCCACTTGCCAGCTACACCTCAGCCAGCACAGGGGGCAGCACCCCGGGCCGAGGCGGTTGCTGGGCGATGGCCTGCATGCACCCTCGGCCTGCCCAGCATGCGCTCCAGCCACAGGAGAGGAGGTGGAGTGTGCGCGCCTCCTCCTGCCCCGCCCGCAGGGAAATACAGGTAGTCCTCGGCTTATGATCACATGGTTGGGGGTCGCGGCATTAGGAAGGTTGAGAACCACTGTGCTAATGGTTAACTAGCAAAATGACATCAGGCTACAAAGCAGAATTGTTTCTGCAGATGTTTCTAGTTTGTTATTTACATTCCTTGTGCAGATGCAGGAGTTCAATTTTGAAAACAAAAAAACAAAAAGAGATAAGCCTCCCCCATCTCATATAACATGAATACATTTCCAACCTGGCAATGTACCGGTAGGTTTTAGTTACAGCTTATAAAAATTGACAAGCCAGGAAGAGTTGGCTAACAGCCATAGAAAGATAGCTGGAATATTAATAACAAAAGAGAAAGGCAGTTATTGTTTGCCATCTCACTGGCAGCAAATGCTCTGGGCAAGTGTTTTAATTATGGTTACTGTTAAATTATACCCGAAGTGCTAGGAAATATTGTCTACATCAGGGATGGGGAACTATGGTCCTTTCCATGCTGGCTCAGGAATTCTGGGAGTCCCCTAGTCATAAAGGGGCCATGGTTCCCCACCTCTGGTTTACATAGTACCCTAGTTGCTACCTGGTTGTTTCCTGAGGAGAAAGTATCTGCATTATACAATACTAACCTCAAAGAGTGATAGGCATGGGCAAGGCGTCCCAGTATCCTGTCATCACCCAGCACCAAGACCCGAGCTGTATGCAGTTTTTTCACTTTAACTATTGGTTCTATGATACTACCACCGTATTTCCGCTGCAGTTTCCCAGTTGGCTTTGCACCTTGCCCACTGCAATTACTCTGAAGCAAAGCTATGCTATCTGCATATTTCTTCTTCATGCAACCCTTTCTCTGGAGCCGAGAGTGCTCAGTCTCAGCATTGCAGGAAGTTGGCATGTCATCAGCCAGAAGGGGCAAGTCTCGCTCAATCCCACTGTCATTGGAGAGCACAGAGAAACGTGTCTGTTCACAGCAGTCATAATCTGGCACCAGATCTTGAAATTCAAAGCCATCAATTCCTGGACTCAGAGAATCCTGTTCACCACTCTGACTTGGTGAACGGAGAAACTGCACCAGCTCTTTCCCTAAAATGAGAAGATAGTGTGAGATCTTGAGAAAAGCCTCAGAAGCTTGTAGCCAGGACACAATGGATTCTTGTGCAAAATAAAGATTTTGTTCACATTCCTGGGCTGAAGCTTTGGTTCTTGAAGGTAACATAATTGAACATAAAGTAATGGGCATGCTGCCATGAAAAGCTTTAATGTCTTTCTCCTTGAGAAGATTAGAGCTTAAAAATGTTCTGCTGAAAAAAGAAAACTCCTGACTTTGGGACTATAAAACTTCAGAATGCAGCTGGATGAGTGCATTTTAACAGGTCCCTTGTATTCAGAAATAAAAGACTGAATATATTTATTCATTAGTCAAATGTTAAGGGGAAGGCTAGCCTTACTAGCCAATTTTCTATGAGCCAAAATACAAACTAAAATGAAGAGAAAGTGGCTTAAGATATCTGTTTTGATCATGAAGAAAAAATAACTATAGCAGTCACAATCTGTCTTAACCTTAATCACAGCCACAAGATTTCCCCCACGCCCCAAGCCACTGAAAATCACTTCTCAGCAATTATTGCAAAAATGCTGTTTGCAATAAACAATATATTTGAGGGACAAAGAACAGCCATGATGATTTTTTAACAATAATGAAAATGGAATACCAATCCTGATGAGAATTGATTTTATTTCAAATAAAAACAGCCATTTAACATAAACTTTTTACTTGTAATTAAGCCATGTTCATGGGTTTAAAAGGTTTGTTTTTATTTTTTAATTTTGTTCCTTTAAAAATGTGGCAGGCTTTCAAATATTTATTCATTGTGTTCATATTAAAACCCAAAAAATATAGCAGAATAAAACACACTGAATCTGACTACCCCTCACAATCATTTCAAATATGCACTTAAGATATTTTTGAATATCTTAATCAAGGAAATGAAGCCTGCTTATTCATTTTCATATAATATACAGTATTTCCTGAATAGAATTCACATGGCATCCAAACCACTGTTCTAACTCATGGGGGAAGTGAAATCATTCAGAAATTTATCGAAACAGTCCAATATATTTTCCCTTGTCATGCTGCACCATCCATGCTTGGAAAAGCTTTTTTTGTGCCCCCAGTATTGACCATGGATATGCAATCTGCCATTCATTTATTTTTTTTCTTCTTTTCCTGTTACATAACTTATTTGTATCCAAAGTGCCAAAGGTGCTTTTTCAAAAGGCAATTGAACTTTGTTTTTGCTTGAAGACCTTTTGCTTCTCATCCAAGAAGCTTCTTTAGTTCTGACTCAGAAGCTTCTTGGATCAGAAGCAAAATGTCTTCAAGAGAAAACAAAGTCCAGCTGCCTTTTGAAAAAGCACCTTTGGGATAACCGTGATCTGGATGACTGAGAATCTCCAAGGACATTTGCATCCATAGCTTCCTTCAAATAATAACTTTCTGATTCAGAGCTTCCTTGTTCACCTTAAGCACTTAAGAAGCCTTCTTAAGCATTGAAGTTGCCCTGCTTCTCTGCCAGGAAAAAAAAATAACTAATGAGATTGTGGTTATCCTTTAGCCACACCCTCCACCCACAGTGTCTTATAGGCTTGCTAGCATCACCCAGCCATCGCTGAGATAATATAAAGCATTTATCATGATCTTTATATCAACGCTGTGATAGTTGGCTAAGTCTAAGTGGGGACTCTACCATGAACAGTTTTACTTTTCTGCCAATTAGCTACAGTTCCACAATCTTTGTCAGAGTTCAGATACTTACAAAGTTGGTCTTCATCAGTCCACAGGTGGAAGCTAATCTTAGGGTTGGGCAAAGGGATGTCTGAACTTTTGCCTACTGAAGACTTCTTCACCCCTGTAAAATACAAAAAAATTGCTGATTATTTCAGGTTATAGTTTTGGCCAGTCAAGAAAAACTCATAAAGTCTTAGAAAGAGATCAGAGAAATGTGAAAATTAGTCTGTGAGAATGTTGGAAAGGCTGGTATTTGCTCTGCATTGGATTATGGAACCTCACATTTAGTTCTCTAAAATGATGCTCATGTAGAAAAATCACACAGAAAGATCTGATTAAATGTGAGATGAGTAGCTACTTTACAGGCAGCAGCATTCTTATAGAAGGAGAGAGAAATTCAGATTTGGGGATAAGAATACATAATTGTACCCAGTTATTGGCATTTTGCTGGGTGATGTCAGTTGGCATTTTGTTGCTTTAGCTTTCTTTTTCTTTAAAAAAAAAATACCTAATCGAGTTCTTATGGGACTGAATTGACATTGTTGCTTTTTGCTGCCAAGGACTGTAAAGCTCCATATGAGGAACAGATTGGATATATTCATCCTGCTGCACATACTGAGAGAAATAAAGCATGCAGAAGAGGGTATATCACAAATTCCCAAACCACCTCCCCTAAAACAGCTCAGGAACCAAGACCTTCTTCTTCCAAGTTCCAGAATGCTGCACTTACTTCTCTCTGAAGAACTCAACAATGTGCTATAGATGTTCTCAAGGGCCTCAACATATCGACTATATTCCAGATTCATTTCTTCAACTGCATGTTCAGTTGCTGCCATCACTTCTTGGAAACAGTGTTCAATCTCATCTAAGGGTTTTGCCTATCAAGGATAATGATAAGTATAAACTCCTAGAATGAAATTCATGACTTGCAAAATGTGTTCAGCTTTATTCAATCATCAAGTGAGCAGATGTTTATATAGATCTACTGTCATAATACTCAGTTTTAAATAGAAAACTAATTTTTTCACTAGGAAACTGCAAACATGGAATACTTGATCCAACTGACATATTTTTGGAAGTGATTTGAACACTGGGATTGTTTCATTTTTTTTCCAGTAATATGCTTATGAAAAAAACATTATTTTAACTAGGGTTAACAATGTAATTATATTTTGTAAGATTCTCTTTGCCTACTCCTATTAAATAATAAACAGCTTGTTTTAATTATGGCTTGTTGAAATGCAAATCCTATCCACATTTTTTCAAAACTCATTTCTACTAATTTTAATAGAGCTTACTCCAACTAATGTTGAAATTTCATAGTTTTTATTGCCATTAAAGACAGAAGCCAATTTCAAACAAAATCTGAAGGGGACTTAAAGGGACAAATACACTGGTCCATTTTTGATGATTACATCACTGAATACAAGCATTTATGAGATTTTAATATGCATTAATAATATAACCAATCAGTTTTCAATGCCACTAATATGTGCAATCCTAAGTGGAATTTTGTATGATCAACACTTCATAATATTACTTTTACAATTTAGGAAGGACAATCCAATAAAAGTACTAGAAACATAAATGGTGCTTGTGAGAAGATTAAATAACAGTGGATTGGAAATTAAATATGAATTAGCAATGTGATGTAATTGCCAAAATGGCAAATGAAATTTTATGCTGCATCCATAGAAATATAGTTTACCAATCATGGAAAATAATCATGTTTGCTTTAGTCAGACCCTTCCTCACATATTGTCCATTTCTGGGCATCACACTTTAAGAAGGATTCAGAGAAATTAGAACAAGTTCAGAGAAGGATAACTGGGATGATCAAAGGACTAGAAACTAATTCCTATGGATAAAGGTAAATATGTTCAGTGTACAAAAAAAGGACTGAGGAGCATATAATAGCATTCTTCAAATACCTGAAAGGATATCACACAGAATATGGATAAGAAATCCTTATGTATTGTTCCACATTGTTCCATACATCATGCACAAGACACATAAGTATGGATATCTTATAAGTACAGATATAACCTAGAGAAAGTCATATTCCTAATTGAATGCTATCAAATATTTCATAACATAAAAATCAGTTCAACAGATAAACCATTGTCCTTCTTTGGAGGTATTTAAGCAGAGGATGGAGCACAGCACAGAGTAGTGAGACTCAGAGGCCACTTAAAACTCCATGATTCCAAATTAGAGGAAGATTTTAATTTGTAAAAAAAATATATTGGTTGGCTGAGAAGTTTAGGAGAGAGATTTTCCCAATTGCAAAATGAATTATTCTAATCAAGACATGTTGTATATAGGTGTATGCAGGACAGGCAAATAATGGCTCATGAGTGCTGGCATCATGGAAATACCATGAATCATGCAAATATTGTGATGCAAGTACATAATTGCTGCATTGATATGCTAGTATCAGATGCATGTCATTTTGCGATTATCATGGTCTGTTACTGATGAAACTGGTTCTGCCTGCCCCAAATAATCCAGAAGGTGCTGGTTTATATGCCCCACAAACACCAATGGTATGTTTGGAGGATGACTAAAGTTATAGAGATACTGGATTCAAAACACATATGATCTCTGGAAATGGGGACAGCACTGGACTCCTCAATTTCACCATCTGAAATATAAAGCAATATTTTACCCAAATGTGGAGGGAGGCGATAGATTAAGAAAAACTAAAGTCCTATCAAGCACAATCTCCAGTTTAAGTCAACAAGGCTTTGGAAGGTGTAATGGGTTCACCATTTCATTATTTTCCTTAACTATATTTAGGATTGCTCTGTTATTTATCAAGGCTTATTTAAGAAAAGTTGGGAGCATTTTTAATGTGGAAAATCCATATTTTAGCACTATACTCAGTGATGCAAAACCTACTGCATTTTATGCAATGTGATATCAAACTTTCAGGTGGATCAGTAAGCCATTCCACATCTAATTCTCTACTTTTCTTGGTTATTATAAAGTCTTATAGAAAATAGTTCCACTTTGAAATTATAAAAATGCTTATTTCACAAAACGTTTGCAGGGAAGCAGACAACCTAAACCTTTTGCAATGCAACTCATTTTCTATTAATGTGAAGTTTAGCTTCAAAAGAAATCTAGAGTACATAGTGTATACCAGATTTGTGACTAAATATCATCAAAGCTTCTTGGGCTAAATGTTTGCAGGAAAATAAGCACATTTCCAAGAATTGGTCTTTTATCTGTAGGATTACTGGCTTTGTTTCTATTTCCCAGTACAACTGGGTTTTTTTTAACCTTAAGAAAAAAAATGCGGTCTTTTCTATGTATTCCAATACTTTCCTTTTTCTTTAAAAGGCAGAAAACTTCCAGATGTGTTAGACTTCAATTTCTATAGTTCGCAGCCTATTGAATATTATGTGAGGTGATGTCCAAGAAGGTAAGGGAATTCTGTGTTTTTCTTGGGCAACCTTGAACAATACACATGTATATAAGATCTATCTATCTATGAACTGAAAAGCCGAACTTGATGCAGCACTTTGAGAAAGAAGGAAGTTAAAAATCTCCATCTATACTATTTAGAGTGAAACTATTACTTTAAGGAGTTTTAGTTACTTCATTCATTCAATCATTAATCTGCAAAACCAAAACTTTCTTATTTCTTCACAATACCTGAAATACTTCATGCAAGTTCCTCATATCACAATGTTCCTTCAGGCCTGTTTGGAAGGCATGCGCTATTACATAGATCATGCAGGACCTGGCACACTGGAACATTTGAGCAGCCTTGATTTCATCAACTAGTGCTTGGCACACAGCCCCAGAGAGCAAATCTGGATCAACAAACATGAAAATCCTAAGGAAATGAAGAGTTAATATATATTACATAAGCAGAACTTATTAGTTGTAGATATGAAAGTGAATCCAAGAGTCTGCATGGGAAACTAAAGGCCTCTGTAAACAATCAATTCCATGCTTAAATCCACAATATTCCAGGTTCAGTAACGTTAATGTCCCTTCAATATTAATAGTTTCATCTTGGTACATTTGATCTTTTTGATCTAGCAATTTATTTTCCCGGGGACGTTTTATCACAAATTATAAATCTATTTACAATTTTACAAAGTTTAACTAATAGAAATCAAAGTAAAGGTATATTAAAGAGTCAGAGTGATGTTCTTCTGAAACAAATATGTAACATCACACACATACAAAGCATACTTAAAAACCTGGGAATAAACAACTTGGAAAACTTCTTTCAGCCAGATGACCATTTGATGGGGCAGTAAACTTTTTGTATCATTTGATGGGGCAGTAAACTTTTTGAGTTTACTGCCCCATCAAATGATACAAAGTCCTAATTTTAGGATAGATTTAGGCACAAAAGAGACATGGAAAGTGGAATACTTACTTATCCTGATAAGGGAATGAGTCATTTTTGAGACCCTGTTCTGCAGAGACTTTCCTTTGGTATAATATCCCTAGTGGGTAAACACATACACAGCAATCAAAATGCTAATGTCCATGGTCTGATTTTGATTCTACTAATAATCAGTTGGTTAAGGGAATAAAGCTCAAAACTGCCACCACAAGCTAGTGGACAGCTTGAACAGTAAATAATCTCAAAGCAGTCTTAACAAAAGCGTGAAATTTGCTTAGAGATAAGACTTTAATTGTGTAATCTTCCTGCATTATTCATAAAGCATTCTTGGAGAGAGGTCCATTGATCATTGCATATTTAAAGGATAGTCCATCATAATTGTCCCATATTTTCTGATCCCTTTTCCTTTGATGCTAATTTTATGTATTTATTAATAAATAGCCATTATATCATAACAAATACAACAAACTAAATTAAATAAAGCTTGCCTACCTGGTATTGCGCGTTCTAGTTTCAGTTGGCAAGCATAATCCAAACCAATAGTGCAGAAAGGCTTGGGTAAAGTAAGCAACTTCTTAAAAAAATCATAGACCCTCTCATATAAGTCATCAGATAAGCAAGGCACCTGGGGGAAAAAAAAGCCCACAATAAATGTCCAAGCAGAAGTTTCTTCATTTGAAACACGTTTAATTCTCAGAGGTGTAAGAATTTCTGCTGCAGGTACTAATTATGTTAAACATGAGTAGAAAGCTAATTGTATGATTATAATAGGGTAATAGAATTCCCATTTATTAGTCGTCTAAACGACTAATAATCTAAACACAATCACAAAATTTTCTTTTCCCATTGATACAATGAATAATGCAGGGCACAGTAGGGGCCAGGATGGCCATTCATAAATATACTGCATCCTATTATCTGTATCTGTCAAGGCAAGCTGATTATGAAAGTGTTCATGGCATCTTTACAAAGCTCTGCTTCCTGTCCTAAGATCAGAGTCCCTGCATTCTTAATCTGTGTGTATGCACACAAATGTGCCTTCAAATCAGTGTTGACTCCTGGAGACTGCCTGGACAATTTCCTGCAGTCTGCTTGGCAAGGTTTTTTGAGGGTGGTTTGCCATTGCCTCCTTCCTAGGGCTGATAGTGAGTGGCCTAAAGTCACCAACCCTTCAGAAAGAGCACATTTAATTCTCATGGGTGTAAGAATTTGTGCTGCACAGGACTAGAACTCACAGTCTCCCAGTTTCTAGCTGAATGCCTTAATCACCATACCAGATTAACAGCTCTTTTTAATAATGAGCATAGCATATACATAGTGATACAGCAAACTAACCTTTGTAAGTCCCACCCTTTGAAATTGATATGGAATCCCAGTGTCAAAATTAATGCCTGATATTAGCGCATTCTGAACTATTAATCCCAGTGCTGAAGAAATAAGGTTCTTACTTTGATCAGTGTATACATCAGTGTGTGAAGCAGAGGGATGATGTGCTTCTGATGGTTACATCTTTCTGCCTGGAAAAAGCAGATAGTTACGTTAAATATATTCTAAATATTGAATTATTTTCTAAAGAAGATAGGCAAAGTTTCCCAAAATAAAATCACAGAAGAGAGGAAGGCAGCCAGCCAGAGCACTGCAGCTGCAATGCTTCTGAAAGAATACATAACTACAACTGTAAGAAAATATGAGACCTCCTTGTGCTTTGCTGTTTAATAACTGGTCTCTTCCTTATTCTGATACATTCTGATAAGAAGGGTTAAGGATTGAAAGCTACAGGAATGTGTAGTTTGAAGGGAAGTTTGAAGGAGCTAGGCCACAGGTCGGCAACCTGCGGCTCCGGAGCCGCATGCGGCTCTTTGAGCCTTCCCCTGTGGCTCCCAGCCTCCTCTGCCTTTGCAGAGAGAGACAGAGACAGAGAGAGGCAATTGCGCTTCCCTGCTTCTCTCTCTCTCTCTCTGTGTGTGTGTGTGTGTGTGTGTGTTTGTGTGTGTGTGTGTGTGTCTGTGTGTATGTGTAAAAGAGAGTGCACTCACAGTATTCTCCGAGGAGCTGAAAAGCTTACTGGGCGGAGCTCCTCCCTTTGCTGCATCTCTGCAGGAAGCAGGAAGCAGGAAGGGCAGGAGAGAGCTAGCTAGCCCAGCTAGGCTGACTCAGGAATTCTGGGAGTTGAAGTCCATGAGTCATAAAAGAGACGAGGTTGCTTGTTGGACAACAGCTTGAAGCTTGCCAGGTGAGCAGCAGATAGGGGGGGGGAGAAAGAGAGAGAGAGAAAGAGAGAGGGAGGGAGAGAGAGAGGAGAGAGAGAGAGAGAAAGAAAGAGAGCGGGGGAAGAGGAGTGGCAGACCAAGGGCAGATAGAGAGAGAGAGAGAGAGAGAGAGAGACCCTTTTGACATCTAAAATGAAGATAACACTGCATATATCCTTTTTTTACCTGTGTGTGTGTGTGTGTGTATACACATACATATATACATATACATATACATATATACACACACACATACATACACACACACAACACACACACACACCTATAATAAAGGTAAAAAAGGATATATGCAGTGTTATCTTCATTTTAGATATCAAAAGGGTTTTGCGGCTCCCAGTGTTTTGTTTTTGGTGGGAAACAGGTCCAAGTGGCTCTTTAAGTGTTTTGGGTTGCCTACCCTTGAGCTAGGCATATATCCCATAACCAAAGGAGAATAAGCTAAGTTGAATAGTATTTGAGAAAGCTGGTCCTAAAAAACGACAAAAGTCTTTTTAATCATAAAACATATGGAAGGATTTATTGTAAACAGAAGATTTTTTTTAAATGATACTTTGCTAAAGACAAAGTATTGCTCTTAATGTATTATTTTTTTTCCACTGACATTAAATTTTGAATTTTTACAAAAACACTGAAGATTTGCTTTCAGTGGAAACTGTGAGATGAATGTATATTCAAATGAGCCTGCCAGAATTGTGGGAAAAGAATATTGATATTATCTGTCTCTAGCCAAACTCAAGATTCTTTACTCTCAGGATTAAGGGCTAGGAATGAAAAGGAGTAAAAGCAGAGACAAATTAAGGAACATTGGTCTCCAGTCAACTCTGCAGAGATGATGGGAGGTGTGATAAACTGAGATAAAGCAATCAGAAAGGAAATAGACCTGCAAATTAGATGTTGATGCTATGAATTCTTGATCTCGAAAGAGTGCAAAATTGCTTTTGCACTGGGATTTGGTAAGCAGCATGTCTTGTTTTGCTATTTTCAAGAAAGGAATGGTGAGACTTTAATCTAGAGCAATGCAGACATCCTTTTTTCTTTTCTTTTTTTTAGCCAAGGGCTACTTTAAAAAAAAAACTTTTAGGAACTTTACACACACAAAGAAGTAGGACGAAAATGATTGTCTCCTTAATTTTTAATTTTGACATTTTGAAAAGTAAGATAAATTTGCTTAGACTGATTTAGGTTAGACCCTTTTGTTATTTCTTTTTAGAATAATGGATCAAAAAACATTCTGTGGGCTGAATTTTCACAATTTGTAACTGAATTTCAGCAGTACAATGTCTGCATAAGAAAACCACCAAGCTCAGAGAGCACCAAGAACTCTAGAGAAGATATCCCTATGTGTCAGCTGCAAGAGAAGCCAGCATTGCTAACATCTCTCTGTGGTTATGATGCCCGAGGTCCCTGACAGAAAGTCAATTTCATTCTTTCTAAATCCAGAGAGTAAGGACTGACCATAAAACATAGTTTTATATTGATGATCAAGTCTGTCTGGGCTACCAACTACCCCCAAACCTAAATTAAGGTCACCTGGATTGTTTACATTCCACTTTTTCTTCAGGAGATCAAGGCATCTTACGTGGGAATCTCAATTTATTTTATTTCAAAAACCGCCACAATCACCTGCTAAGGTAGGTTGGATAACAAGAGAGCGACTGAGTAACAAAAGTCACCACTGAGTTTCCATGGCTGAAGGTGGACTTGACCTAAGTTTCCAGGATCCTAATCCAACACATTTACTATTATATCACAGTAGTTCTCATTCTTACTCTTTCAAGTTCTTTCACCAAAATTTTAATCCAGAGGATTCCATTTTGGGGATTCCGGTCCATTTTCTTGTGCAAGGTCCATCTCAGCATCCCTGAGAGATCAAAATCGAAGTATCTATTAATGTTTCATTTATTAATCCAAGGATACTATAGTAATCAGTGCTCAGTCATTGCAGGGTGCAAAAAATGGCCACTGGTATGCAGCATTTTATTGTTTATATAGTTCACAAGCAGCAAACGTTTCTACATGACAATAGCATTTCATTGGCTAAACTCCTTTACCAATCTTCAATATAGAAGCCAGAGGCCAGAAACAAGGAATAGCTGGCAATAACATCTTGTTGTTGTGAGCTAGCTGCTATCAAGCAGGCAAGGTCATTGCACAAGCTGTGCACTTTCACATCGCCATGGTGATGTGAAGGAATGAGATAAATGTAGAGAAGAGACACCCAGGTGTTGGAGGGGCAGTATTCTGCACACGACCTTTCTTGGCCCTCAACTCTACATTTCACTCTTTTTTGTTTTGTTAGATGAAATATTGTCGCAAGAGGGGTTAATAAAAGGATTATGATCAGGAGAGGAGCATCCTGGCAGTTGTTTATATAGGGCCAAAACCTGACCTTGAGGTAATGTGAGAGAGGATCTGGGATTTAAAAGCTCCAATACGTATATTGTAAAATGAAAGGAATACATTACATAAACAGCACCCACCAAGATCCTAAAGTATCAATTTTCAAATAGAGGCCAAATTGTGTAAAATATTAATCTGGTGCTGGATGGTTCGTGAATTATCAGAAATATTGAAACAACACATTCCCTCAAAACTTTCACAACCCAAATGCTGGTGCAGAAGCAAATAATCAATTGCAGCGTGATTTTGCAAAATAGCCTTACTCAAATCTTGCAATTCATGGTTGATTGCTGAAATAGCTGAAGAAATAGCATTAATGTCTTTGCTAAATTACATGTAATAGCATTAATGTTGAGGTGAGCACGAACAGCAAGTCCTGGCACGCCCACTAGAGATATAGCCAATGTTAAAGTTCCCATTGAATAAAATTCTGTTATAGTCAGTGAAGTTTTGAATTACTGCAGAAGGGGTGCAAACAGGGACTAAACATGTAGAAAGCAAATTTTCCATATTGTGTGATGTTAGATTTTGCTTCATTCATTGCTCGAATGATTATTTGGGTGGGATGACAGTTGCTGTTGTCAAAGGGCAGATGTTAACGATCAGACACAAACAAATGATGGATAAGGAATTTGTAGTGAAAACCGCAAAAATGGCAGCGCGCAGATTCTCGGGGGTCAAGTTCTTTTCATCTCCTCACGTCACTGGCTGCCTATCATGTCAGGATCGGATTGGTTGCTGTGCCATCTGTAGAATCACCCTTGCCATATCTGGGACTGGGTCCAGGGACTGGTGCCATGACATCCCTGGCTGGGTGAACATAATGTGCTGGAATCCACAAAGGTCCTGTAGGAGCAAGCACAAGCGGCATAGCCTCGCCCCCAAGTGATCAGAGGGACTGGTCCCAACCATGCTTTGTCTGGTAATGCCCGATAATATACCAGAGGTGGAAGCAAGCTTGTTTTCTGTTGAAAGTGTCTCTGATAAGTGGTCAAATTTTGAATGGAAATATTCAATTGGTGTAATGTAAATAATACTTTTTGAACCTGTTGTATTACCCATGACAAATTGGGTACCCTAGATGATCCGTCCTTTTTTATTTGTTTGTGAAGGCAGTTCTTAAAAGACTGACAGCACGTTCCACGATGGGACCCGTGGAATTATAGGGAAGACCATGAGTAAAAACAATATTTCAGGTTGTACAAAATTGTAAATTGTAATTAGGAATAGGAATATTCCTAATTAGGAATAGGCTGGCCTATTATCAGTTTTTAGGGAAGAGGGCTTACCCAGGGCTGTAACGGCCCAAAAAAGATGAAAAATAACATGTGAAGCTGTTTCCCCTCGTGGAGGTGGGGGAAATTGTTTCTAAATAGGTATCAATGGATAAATGAATATATTTCCAGGAAGCCAAAAAGAGAGAACATGGATAACATCCATTTGTCATAATTGATTAGAGGCAAAACCACATAAAAGACATAAGACATAAAAAAGACATACAAAAAAATTTGGCCCAGGAAGGGAGAAGTGACTGCGTATATGAGAAATAAAATATAAATGCTTTCAGTTTTGTAGCAGCTGCTATAAAGGGAAAAACAAAGTCATAAGATTGGGGTCAATCCTGGGCGTGATGTAAGCACCTGAAAGAGTAAAAATAAGTTGGCACACATAATGAGAGTCAGAGATTAAGTTAAAAGGCTGTTGAGAAAAGGTTTGAAAAGCTAAAATAACAGCAGATAATTCTGAGCATTGTGGTGAGGATTGCATTGCAGTGTAGGACACTTTCCAGGTATCATCATGAGGATCCTTGTAAGCAATTGCTCCTCTCATTCACCCCCATCAGAAAAAACAAACAAGCAAGTCAAAGATCTTTAGGCAAATGATATGAAATACAGCCTATATAATCAGTTAAAATACACTAAAGAGATAAGTTATTTTTGAAAACAATATTAATTAAATCAGTTCCATTTTGATGGCAAGCTCGTGTGCATCCTAAGGTTATCATTTTAGCAACCACCTGGATAAAAAATAAAACATTTTGGGATGGGGTGTGGGGTTTGAGGGCTAACACACACTTCAACAAATTAACTCATTCAGTTCCATGCTGTTTGCATAAAACAATTCCACATACAAATATTTCATTTCATACTTTCTCCAGGCAAACCATGTACTCTTAATAAGGCCTTTTTGTATTGTTTTTATCAGAGAGGGTTTTACCCTCTTCCAAGTCTTGGAAATAACACAGAACAACACAGACAAACATATATACACAAATACTGTTACAACAACATTTATTTAGACGTATTACTTGTCCTGCAAGAAGCGAGAAAAATAATGAGGTGATTCCAACCAAAAGTGGTTTTGAGGGCCCTAATCATCTCCCATTTTTCTCACCATTCCAAGCCCAAGCATAATATTCTGAGTGGCCCCACACACACACACACACACACACATATATATAACACAAAGCACCACCAGACATTGTCTGACAGGGTTAAACTTAACAGCCACATGAAGTTTCAAAACATTCCAATTGTTCAAAACACTTTACAGAGGGAGTACATTTTGAGTTAATTTATGTCTTTAAATTACTCTGATGATTCTCCTTATTATCTTTTTCCTACTTCAAGATAGTTCCGCTAATATTTTCCTTGTGGGGGTGTATGATGGCTGAGAAAAAGCAAAAGAATTAGCCTCTTCAGAAGGAGCTAGAAATCCAATTAAAGATGTTTTATGAGGAATAAAATTTACTTAATTGTAATCAGAAGGGGGGCTGGTAGTTAATTGCTGCCCTTCTGAAGCATCTGAGCCACATTTTTTCCCTTGCTTGATGGCACTGAATATTATCGATATTTGTACTGGAGCCCAAGGTTCAAGATGTAAATTGTGCCCTATCTTTTAGCCTAAGCGTCCAGTGCTCAGGATTCCAAGGGCAGTGTTTCCCTACCTCAGCCCCCAGCTTCCTTACGTCTGCTTCAGGCTCTATGCCTGATTTTTGTCTTTGCTGGTGCCGAGATAATTTACGACCCATACTTACCACTGAGGGGTCTCGTAAGACAAAAGTGCACTTAGGGGTCTATTCCAGATGATGGTAAGCATGTTGGCTGTCACTTCATCCCCGGGGGGGTTCCCAAAAGTCCCTGAGGGCACCAGCTGTAGTAATCAGTGCTCAGTCATTGCAGGGTGCAAAAAATGGCTGCTGGTATGCAGCATTTTATTGTTTATATACTGTAGTTCACAAGCAGCAAAAGTTTCTACATGACAATAGCATTTCATTGGCTAAACTCCTTTACCAATCCTCAAGAATATAGAAGCCAGAGGCCAGAAACAGGGACTAGTTGGCAATAACATCTTGTTGTTGTGAGCTAGCTGCTATCAAGCAGGCAAGGTCACTGCACAAGCTGTGCACTTTCACATCGCCATGGTGATGTGAAGGAATGAGATAAATGTAGAGAAGAGACAACCAGGTGTTGGAGGGGCAGTATTCTGCACACAACCTTTCCTGGTCCTCAACTCTACATTTCACTCTTTTTTGTTTTGTTAGACAAAATATCGTCACAAGAGGGGTTAATAAAAGGATTATAATCAGGAGAGGAGCATCCTGGCAGTTGTTTATATAGGGCCAAAACCTGACCCTGAGGTAAGGCGAGAGAGGATCTGGGGTTAAAAAGCTCCAATACATATATTGCAAAATGAAAGGAATACATTACATAAACAGCACCCACCAAGATCCTAAAGTATCAATTTTCAAATAGAGGTCAAATTGTGTAAAATATTAATCTGGTGCTGGATGGTTCGTGAATTATCAGAAATTTGTCCCCAGACAACTCCAGAGCTATTTTAGGTTGAAAGTTTATTCATGACATGCTTATAATCCACTTAAGCATGTTGTGTGAACCTACCCTATGTGGGTTAATTATTCCTAGCATACATTAAGACGAACCATCTGGAATCTGCTGGATTTGATCAATGTTCTACTCAACCATTTGGCAGTTCTCTTTTCTTTAGGCAAAGCTCTGCTATCTCTCTGCCTGAAATATCTCAACTAGAGATGACCGATGGAAATTTCATCTTTACAAAGCATGTTCTTTGACAAGAAGCAATTGCTTCTTTTCTGTAGTTTTATTGGTAATGAAGAATTTAATGGGCAGAGATTTGTCTTCTAGGATCAGATCAATTACTTCATCTTTGAGCAAGAATCTCACTAAGTAAGATATCCAAAAACAAATTCCAAGTGAATGACATCCTAGCATGGAAAGTCAAGCTTTCTTTGCTCCAGCTTATGTAGACAGAATGTGTAGGAGATGATCAAGCTGAGCCTGAGGGAGGGGTCAAATGCGTCTTCAGTCTTGAGTTCCTTTACGCCCACAAGAAATCTAGGTCCAGCCGATCTTGAATCCCATTGCTCTTATCTACCACTAATTTGCCTTATTAGTTAATAAATTAGCTAATAGATTCTTGAAGAGAGCTTAAGCTTGCAACAGACCTTTATATTCATTTGAACTGCCTGGATTTCCTGATTTCCTGTGCTTGACAGAATGGAAGTGTAAGCACACAGCAACCTATCTCTTGGAAGGCTGGCAATCTGGAGTGATCTTACCTCTCTCACTCTGGAAGGCTGGATGATGGCCATCAAGTTCCCGAAGAAGGGCATGCACACTTCGGAGAAAGTCTGACTCAACCTCTTGAAGCAGAAGAAATAATCAACATGCGGTTCAGTGATTTCTAATTTTTTAGTTTCATACAAACTTACATAAGTTTACATATACATAACCCCTATCAATAAAGGCAAAATCCTGGTAATATATCAGTAGTATTGTTAGCTCCTATCTGAGATATGTACATTAAGCTAAGCAGTACCATAGTTATGACTAATAAATCAATATTGTGGAACATGGATAAAATCAAAATATTCTCAGCAGTATTTTCCATACCCACTTTCTTTCCTGGCACTATTTACAAACAAAACTTGAAGAGTACCATATGTAAACAATTCAATTTATTTTAAAAAATGATATTTTTATTTAAACAACCCATCAGCAATTACTATCAGCCATGAATTATCTATAGGTTTATACGTATTATGTATTGTAAAAAGAGGACAGAGTACAAAGAGGATAGAAAATTGCAACAATGTTCATTTTTTATAGTAAGTGAGTTTAATCAAGCCTATAATAGTTTTTTAATGCAGTCTTTAAGTATAAATAATGTTTAATTTCAAGGCACCCTAAGACTCTTTGGGTGCTCCTTGTGTTTAAGCATAGCTAGCTGTTTTGACGGAATCGGCAGGTTGGGAGGTTGGGAGTGGAACTATAACCTGGCTAGCTTGGAATCTGTGCAAGGGAGGAAGCAGCAGAAACCTAACACACACCCACACACCCACAAAGGCCTGAAGTGCTTATATGGTTGTTCTCAAGAGAGTGCTGTTAGCCTGGTGAGATTTTTGTAAATAGGCGAATAGCAATAAAGAAATTTATCTGATCAGCTGACAACGTTGTGTTTGACACTCTCCTGTGTTTTCTTTTTTCTTTTTCCCCCAACAGGGAAGGATAGCAAAAGAAAATTGGAACCATTTCACTTTTCCTAATTAGAATGTCATGCTCTAATACCAAGCACAGACCTGGGTTTTCCATATCTGGACAGTGTTTAAAGGAGTTGATTGCAAGCTTAATTGCAGCCACGCCTTTTGGAGAGCTAGGTGAACGGAGATCTCAGTTTCACTCAGCATGGCCTCAGTTCCTGTGCTGCTTCTGCAAAATAAGATGATGGTGTAAGGCAGAGGTTGTGAACTGCTGCGTGGAAGAGCAAAGGATGAAATGGTTTGCCTCCCACAGCAGTTCAGTGTTCAGAATTAAATCCATACTCACACAAGTGCATGAAATGAGATTTCCTTTCCCTCCTGCTGCTACAGCCCCCACTCCACCCAAACTCCTCAGCATTGTAATCCTCCAGAGCTCTTTTTACAAACATATTGGAGGCTGCAGTGAGAATTCAGTCTGTCAGGGTTATCCATTCCTTTGTTGAAAAAATTCATAGGATAAAACCTGAAACTTATCTTGATGCAATACAGGTAGTCCTCAAGTTACAAACCATAAATTGAGCTCAAAATCTATGTTGCCAAGGAAAACATTTGTTAAGTGAGTTTGCCCCATTTTATGATGTTTCTTGCCACAGTTAAGTGAATCGTTTGCATTTGTTAAGTTACTAACACGATTGTTAAGTGAATCTGGAATCCCCATTGACTTGGCTTGTCAGAAGGTTGCAAAAACTGATCACATGATCCTGGGACACTGCAACCATCATAAATATGAACCACTTGCCAGGCATCTGGATTTTGATCATGTGACCATGGGGATGTTGCAACAGTTGTAAGTGGTCATAAGTCATTTATTTTAGTGCTGTTCTACCTTTGAATTGTCATTAAATGAACTGTTGTAAGTCGAGGACTACCTGTACACTTTTTTTGGCTAGTGTTCTCAGGCTTAAAACAGCCTTCCTGGTCTGCCACCCTCTACATGAGCTGAACTACAATCCTTTTAGTAGCTTTATCATATGACTATAGTAGGAATTTGGAGTCAATATAGCTCAACTGCATCAGATTAGAGGAAGGCTGTCTTAGAATGTGCGACATTCCACAACAACACTAAATATTGTGAGGCCAGCTGAGCATAAACCATTGCTATTCAGGATGCTGACAGGCAGAACAGAGTTAGCTAAGATGATGAACAGACTGTTACCTATGGGATACTTGTCCTGTAATTGTAAATACACTGCTATAGACCCATCCTAGCTTCCAAGCATGTTGAAAGGGCTTCCAAAGTAAACATAGGAAATGATATTGTGAAGGTCTGGCAGTAGAAAATACAGCATGGTTAGAGTTTGAATACAATACTCTGAGACTGCCATAGATCAAGAAGGTCTCACTTACCTTAGTATGCTATACAGAGCATAAGGAAACTCATGACAGCCAAACAACAATAAGCTAATCATTTATATTACGGGATCTATATACCCAGCCAGATCTCTAAAATAGGCCATTTAAACCTGCCAATTTCCATCATGTAGAAACATACCTAAGATAGACTTGCTTTACCTGCCTCACCAGTGTTGATAATACCTGAAAATATTTGAAAGGATTAGAAAATGGAATGTATCGTCTCTTCCCTCTTGCCCTGAAACTACAGATCTCTTAACATGTTTGAAGCCAGTAAAGTCAAGTCAGATATTATCATACCTGCAATATCTGATAATACATTCAAAGTGATCTCCAGAGTCTCCTGATATGCAAATTTTCTTGTCACAGGCTCTCCCTCTCCCAATTTCATCCTGAACCTCTTTGGAAGAAGATACCACCAGCCTGTTAGAAGCCACATGGATTCAGTGGCTTTGTCCCCCTGCCATATTTTCCACACTCCAGTGTATTTGGCCCAGTTTTGAGGCAATTATCCAGCACCTTTGGACCAAGAGCTTAATGGTAAAGCCAACCTTGTAAAATGCTTTTGTTGTTAGCTATTCCACAGCCTCACATCACCTGGCCTCCCTAGAGCATACAGGCTGGGCTACACTATGGAATTCATGCATTCATGCTTGAGAATGAATCCAGTGAGCCCAAGCAAAGATAATGGCATCAGTTTCTCCTCAGCTGCAAAACAAGAAGTGCCACCACAACAATCTTTTGAAATGTGGGTGGATTCATACTAGTGGTTGTTCCAAAATGTGCTACCACTTTCCTCGTAAATATCAACATGCGCATATACATACTTACAAGAATTCAGGTGACAAGACATGGGCTTAAAAATTTCTAGAGAAGTAACTTGTGAAACAAAATCAATATAAACTCTGAGGATATTTTTGAGACATTAGGATTCAGAAACTCATATAATGAATGCATAAAACAGGGATAGGCATGTAGCGATCCCAAGGTTTCAAGACTGGTATTCCCTCCAAACTCCCTTAGATGTTGCTATCAAAGTACAATTTTTAATGTGACAAAAATAATAATCAAAATCAGTAATTACATTTATTAAATTTAAAATTACTCACATTTAGATGTTCAGGGCTCATTGTATGCTCTGGCATACAACTCATTAGCTAATTTCCCTACCTCCGTATTGTATATTTATGGTACTTCCACTGTCCTGGGATTTTTTTAAAATAACTGGGTTATTAAAATATTGTGTGGCTATAAAAAGTTAGAGGTTTGCAAACAAAGATGTGGGATAATGTGCCCAGGTACTTCTATTTTTTTTTAGTCTTCCCAAGTAATTCACTCATTATTCATCTTAAGTACCAAACAATTTTCAGCGGTTCACAAAACCACATGTAAGAGTTGATTCCCATCAGAAAAAAATCAGGAGACTTATGTAGTTAATAAGCTGCAAGTTTCATTGACATGGGTTGGGGGGGGGGAACGTATCATTTCGCCAGACACCAGGAAAGCAGTTAGAAAAAACAAACAAGATATTTCCACCCCAAAGTACTTTGAGGTATATTGGGAAATGGTGGGAAATGATTGGAAATGGTTCAGGTGTTCTAATTCTTCCTAAAGACTCTGTGAGAGTGATTGAAGGAAATCCTTTCAGTTCTAAGCAAATATTTTACAAAGTTTACAACTTGCATCTCACTTGATCAAGCATTTCTTATCTAGTTTGGACTGCAACTATCTGGAATGCTTGCAGCACTATGGGTGGTGGGACTTATGACCACAATTGGTAGTCCTCGACTTATGACCACAGTTGAGCCCATAATTTTCATTACTAAGCAAGACAGTTGCTAAGTGAATTTTGCTTCATTTGCCTCACCTTTCTTGCCTCACTCTTTCTTCACAGTTCTTAAGTGAATCACTGCAGTTGTTAAGTTAGTGATGCAGTCGTTAAGTGAATCTGGCTTCCCCATGGACTTTGCTTGTCAGAAGGTTGCAAATATGGTCACGTGACCCCAGGACCTGGCAACCATCATAAATACATTGTCAGTTGCCAAGTATCTGAATTCTGATCGTGTGACCACAGGGAAGCTGCAGTGGTTGTAAATGTGAAAAATAGTCAAAAGTCACTTTTTTCAGTGCCACTGTAACTTCGAACGGTCACTAAACAAATGGCTTAAGTCAAGAGCTACCTGTATTTCAAGCCATTTAGGGGGTGCCAAGTTTGGAAACTGCATTAAGCAGCCTCTACTTAAGATGCCTGCCATTGGATAGCAATTGAGAGGAAGAATTACTGGCCTTTTGCACAACATGCTTAACTGGGTCATGGAAATACCTATTTAAACCCAGCTGATTGACCCTGCAAATGTATCCAAAAGAGATAAGACCAAGGCTAGAGTAGGCTTATTTGGGATAAGAGTAATACTTCTCTAGTGAACTAATTCCCTCCATTTTGTGGAAACAACTTACTAAATGATGAAAATGGGCACTCCTTCTTTGGCTGCTGGGGTTGTGGAGGTGTCAATCCCCCTGCAGCCCTAGGGAGGGGATCAAAAAGGGCAAAAACAGTTTGAGTGTTGGTATTGCTGTGTTGGTGCTGGAAGTTCATTTTCCATGCAGAAAAGGGGAGGGGGATAAAGCCAATATAGGGGAAAGGGTAAATGACGGCCTTCCAGTGTCCTTGGTACAAGCTAGGAGGTCTAAAAACATGGCACTGTTCAACTGTGCCACTGCCCCAGAATAATATGCTACCAACAGACCTTTCTTCTCTCATGAAGATGAAGCAATACAGCACTTTCATTAAACCTTTATTAGAGACCTAAATCCTTACCTTGCTGGGAATTATTGTATATACAATGCTACAGAAGTCATTACTGCATTAGATTTTCAAAACCAAAATGTGGCCTGATAAATTTCAATCCATATAACATTTTAATCATCGAAAATATAATTGAACTGATCACGCTGGATGTTTTGCAAAAGGCATCTGATCATGTGTCCATTCAAAATACAACACCTAATGATTCTACTAGTGATTTTTTTTTGAGGACTAAAAGTTTCCTTTCTCATCATGGGTGGGCCTAATTGCAGAAACAGCTCTAACCATTTCCGGTTTTCTATTTTAGGACCCCAGTCACTGCAGAAGTTGTTGTAGACAAACTTCCTCTTTACACCTTTTGTCAGAGCCATCAGTGACTGCTGAAGCTACAAACAGCCGCCAAACTCCCATCACTCTTAAGGAAGCAATTCTACAACAGAAGTTGGCTATACCTTGACATATAGCAACAGCAGACAATGAAGTATTTCCCTGCATTTCCTGGAAGACAATTCTTAGATATTAACTTTAAGCCACACAGTTTGTAAAATGTGTGTAAGTCATTGGGACCTCTTTTAAGATAAGGCAACTGTTCTGAGCCCCATATTTGGGAGGGGGGATACCTTACTTAAAGTAAGATTCAGAATGTCAAATCAGCAGATTGCCTTTCATTCAAGGCAATCAAAAGACACATTACCTTTGTTTATTCTTATGCAACTGACTAAAGTAGCAAAATAAAATGTACATGCGCCTCTGCTAGTTTTAGGACAAAATTAAATCCAAGCAAATTTTGCAATTGCTCTAGTCTGAGGGAATAAAAACTGACTTGTCTTGCAAACAGCTGGTGGTTTCCTTGATCTCTAAGTCTGCTGTTTTTCATTGACATTCTTGAAAAGTAATATGCCAATCTCTTCATTATTTATGTATCTTGAATCTCAGGAAACCTGACTTTGCATGTGGTCCTAGGCACGCTCTCTTCAAAGTTCCGTTGAGTAAAGTATGTTTAAAACTGAATGCTGGATGTTTGCTAAAATTGGCTTAAATTAACTAGTCAATAATAAGACACAAAAGGCAATATTGATATATGGAGAAATGGGCTGTTTTTTTTTAGTGGCTAGAATGAATGTATAGAATAAGGTAAAGTTTGTTCTGGATTGAAAATGTGCTCAGAAATCTAAGCAGTCTGTTACAGAAAGTGTATGCTTTTGTAAAAGTTGCTTTTAAAAAATCTAAAATTTTCTGCTTTTTCTCCTGTTTTATTACTATAAAAGATTTTGGAATTTACAAGGTTAATTATGTTAGTTTGTGCAGCAAAAATCACAAGAAGCTTTATAGCGCCAGTAAGAATTAGCAAATATATTAGCCCATAAACTTTTCCTACATAAAAAGAAAAGTTTTTAAAGAACCCACTGAAACCAGCTGTATAAAATGAATTTGGCTACTTTATCAAATATTTTGAAACCTACTAGCATCTATTATCTGAATAAGTACAGTATTCAAAAGTCAAGGCCCCTTAAATCTAGCTTGATTCTTGGTGACTACAAGGACATTTCCACATAGTTAGAGAATGATGTAGGATCCACAGAACATTAGAGGAAAATAAAATAAAATAAATTAAGTAAAATAAAAGTAAATTGTTTCACTATTCATCTCTACAATTTTACAAAACTTTAATTTTAATTAGTCATGTAGCTTTTGCAGCTTTTAGTTTTCTGGAGTTTTTATAAAATATACCATATTTTAATTCTACAGTCATTGCCCTCACAGACTCTAATTTTACTAATTTCGCAGCCTCTGTATTTATGGTGGTTGAAGGCAGTATGCTGCAAAGTAAAGAAACAATTCCCCCAATCCATTTAATTTCAGTGTGTTGAGTGGGATTCTACTGCTTAACTGAGTAGACTACATTTTCTATACAATTCTAATTTTAGCTTGGGTCTTCCCTTTCCTTTTAAAGAGGGTGGAAAAACTTGCAAAATCTATTGCTATATTCGGATTTAGCTTGGGGAGACCCAGGAGGAGACAGGGCCTCACTTGAAAGACTGTATTATACTGTTGTAAAGCTCAGATATAAGCATTTCAGGGCAGGAGCTAATTTCATCTCTCACTGGCATGTACAGGGCACACTGCAGAAGAGTGGGTGGGGAGATGAGAAAGAAGTGGGTAGGAACAACACATTATTTGACTTCTTTGGTTTAATTAAGCTTCAACATTAATTTAAATGAAGCAATTGCATTTAAAAACCTCATTTGTTTTAACTCAACAATATTTGTGTAATGCTTTGGGGACTACAGGTAATCGTGAAAACTCAGAAATTATACCTTTGCTGCAAAGGTTAATATGATAACCTTAGAAACAAATACAATAAAATACGTCAGACGGGCATCGCTCAGGAATTATAATTTTTATGTTCAATGGCTAATTGGCTTTGTTGCCTATTTTAGTCTTAGGCTGCAATCTATGTCTCTTTTACTCTCTGTAGTAAAATGATGCATCCAAGGAGAAAAGTGGCGTATTGCAGAACAGAAAAAGAGCAGGTACATTGTTGACTGGAACCAGAAACTGGGAGCAGAATTCCATGCATGTTTTATCATATGGAAAGTCTACTAGTTTCAATGGAACTTATTTCTAAGTAAACATGTAGTGACTTGTAAAAGAAAGAATGTGGTAATGATTCCGAGAAGTGGCTGAAAGCTGGCAAAAGAGACTATGATTCCATATATGCAAATGCAAAAATAGGTTGATTCTGATAAGAGTTGGTGCTTTTAAAAGAGATGGTCTTTTCCCACATATCAGGTGTTTTGTGAGTTATAGCTTTAGCCAGAAGGATATGCACATCAGTTCTTAAACGTGAACGATCCTTTGGAGAATTTCTCCAACTCATCACATTTAATTAGATGGGATGAGGGCTTCAGAAAGCATTTAGCATCTCTGATACCATTTCCAGTGACATTTTCAGAATATCAACTGAAGAGATAATACAGTAGGAAATCCGACATATTGCCGAATCTGTTCATAAAATGAAGCAGCACATCCAAAGACCTGTTAAAGTAGTTCTGCCTCCAAAACTTTATACAGAAGTGATCATGGCTAACATGAATTGGGGTAGCAATGGAGACAAGGTCTCACTCATTTCTCCTGAGTTCTGACTCAGGATTTGCTCAATTCACTGAGTAATAAACTACAGTAATGAAAAGGGTTGGGTTCTTACAAGTTGCTAACCAATGAACTATTATTAAGAAAGCCATACAAATTTGTTATGTGACCTAATTAAACGTGTTTCTTGCACCTAGCTGTAGTACAAAAACACTTGTCATTCTGTATGGCTAGCACTCAAATCAACTGATCCATCAAGATCACAAAAACATAAGAATGAATGCAAAGTTAACAGAAATGGAAAGCATACCCATGCAAGCTGTAGAGATCAATTGAAATCACATTTGCCCACCATCGCCTTTCCTCCAGCTGATGAACAGGATTTGAGGACCAACCCACTTTTGTTGAAGTCTTCATGAAGCCTGAAATTAGATGGGGAAGAAATTCCCACAGCTTCCAAGAGACTCATTGCATTGGCGCTCACATTAATATTAACCATTTAATGGCAGAAACATCAAAGGCTGATAGACCACAATTTTTTTCATGCAGAAGTTCCAAATTCAACCCCTTGGACATTTCTAAGTAGGGAGAAAGAAAATTATATAAAACTTTGATGAATACCAGCCACCCCAGTAAGCTAAATGAAGCTATTTCTGGTCTCAGTGCATGGAAGCTTCAACATGCAAACTGGGCACCACATTTCAAACATCACAAACAGGGTTGTGGTACCACCTCCAACCTAAGGGTCTCCAGTAGTTCCAGTTCACACATTCACCCAGGAAGAATCAATGCTTGGCTAATTACATGTTTCTTTGAGGAGGCTCTTTGGGTGTTATATAAATAGCCTTAAACTGAGAGGAGGAGCAGCTGCTATGTGGCCCCGGCTGCAGGAGGGCACCCATCCAGCTAAATGCGTTGAGGGGCAAAGCTCCTGTAACACAAGCTAGCAATTGCGCAAAGAAACCGACAAGCCGCCTCCCAAAAGCAATCGCAGCCATCCTCGCACCTCTGTTCCAGTTTTTCCTGTCCCAGGGTGGAGGGTAATCTGGAAACAAGGGCGAAGTGTTTCTGCCAGGAATTTGAACACGCAAATCAAAATTAACCCGCTCCTGCCAGGCGCGCCGAGGGTAGTGGAGGGGAGCACCGCTGGCTCCCCTTTGCAGGGATAGCCCCGAGTCGACTGGGAAATACCTGTTGCTGAGCACCAGTTCTGATGGCCCTTGTTTACTGGGATCGAGTCTGCCGCGCTGCATTTCTCCCTTCCCGCCTTCCCAGTTGCCGGAGGGACAATTTTCCCTGCACGGGACACTGGCTGATGTTGTCACTTAGCAGGCGGAAGCATCGGTATCCGGCAGAGAGAGTGCGGTTCTTCTTTCCCTCACCCTTCACCCCACCCCACCCCGCCACTTCCCAAAGACTGCAACTTTGTCCCTCGCCACACAAAACTTTCCTGCTCCAGATATGGCCAAAACACTCGCCGTCCCTTTCCACCACCCCCCCTCCCCCAATGGATCGGACAACAACGCGGAGAGCCAGAGAGATTTTGGAGAGACCCATTCCTAGTGGCTCCAAAGCTTTCTAACGGGAGCCTCCGGAAGAGTTTTAACCAGCATTGGTGTTCCTTCGGAAATCTTAACGAGGAGCCCCCAAACGCCTCCTTTACTGGATTCTCCTGTCTGTCGCTGCGCCCCGTCTTTTTCTTCCGTCAACCTGAGGAAAGGGGCCAGCCGCAGCGGGATCCCAGGACGCGCGAGAAAAGCGGGCTCCGAGAGAGCAGCCGTACCTTGAGGGCGAGAAAACCGGGGACAGTCTCGAAAGCCTCCCGAGATCGGTCCTCGCCTGAACTCCCGAAGGACCCTTTGAGAAAGGGAGCCATCTGGCGCCTCGCTAAGGGGCCGTCTTCATCCGCGCGCCGGCCTGTTCGCGCGCGCCGTCTTGGGTTTTGGCTCGGCTGCTCAGGAAGCGTTTGGCAGGTTTGGCTCGCTCTCTCGAAGTTCTCTCCGCGGGCGGCCGCTTACCTCCTGCCCGAGGGCGGCTCAGCCGAAGCTTACAAAAAGATCCTCGCCGCCCTGCGAGAGGACAGACGCACTTCCTTTCCTGTCCGAGGGTTGCTTCGCTCGGCCCCTGGCTTTGCCACTCCGCCCGCCCGCCCGCCCGTCTGTCTGTCTGTCTTCTTTTCGGCGCCGAGGAATCGCTGAGCTCAGATGGGCGGCAGCGGG